TGAGAACTTTTAAATAGTTGATTTGATATTAACATTGATATATATTTTTTCAAAATTTTATGATATCTTCAAATTTATATTTTATTCAAAAATAAAGTCATTATTGATTTTTTTAAAAACACATCAAAAATCGTATTATAACATCGACAGAGACAAATAATAAAATAGAACATTAAAATCGAGATGTGTCTCGCTGCATTGCACGAGTATTTTTCTAGTATATAATAATCAATTTAAAATTATTTTAATCGACATATTATATATTTGATTTTTTCCTATATAGTTTGTATTAATTAACATATTATACTATTATAGATTTGTTTTAACTATATTATAAAATATTGTAATTGACTGTTTGTTTAAAATGTCATTTTTGGTTATTTTACATGTTTATCAGTTAGTTTGTGTCAAACATGTTTTATTCATCAACTATCAGTTGACTTATTAGTTAGTTTTCCAAACATATCATTAAATGTTTTGTAAAACTATATACATTCCAAAATAGTTGCCGTAAATACATTAAAAGTTTTAATTGTTTGGAAATTTGTTCTTATAATATGTTTCTATGATTCTATGTTATTCTTGCTCCAACTGCAATTTTGACCTAATTTGGGGTTTGTCATAAATTATAGTCGTATTAGTTATTATTAAATGTTATGGATTGTTTATTGACTTTCAAATATGATGTGTGGGGCGTTACCTCACTTTTGAATGAATGGGCACCCTCACTTAAATATCATGCTTTGAGATGCTACTCAGAATGGTAGACACTAAGAACCATTATGTTTGAGGTGGACACTAAGTGTGAGAGCCTTTGAGATGTGATTCTTATGAATAGACGCTAAGGTCAACCTGCTATTGAGTTGAAATTTGTTAGAGGTCGTTGGGCACCTGGACACTGTATATTAAAGTGTCATATGACAACATTTGATGAAAGACATACTTTTGTGTTCCCGTCACTTTCAATGGATATAGTTTCCCCCTTTGTTTCCAAAAGAATGGTACATGTGGTTTTATGAACAAGATTAAATGATTTCGCATAATTATTAAATCGTCATTGTCTTAGTATTCATGAACATTTATGTTCAAGTTTACTATACTTTTTGACATAACGCTTATTTATTGTCGATGTGTATCTCATGTTCTAGTGGCAAGGTTGTTAGGGAGATCTGATCGACCGCCTTTAGAGAGCCTGGGAGCATTTTGAGATGCCAAATGTTGCTTTTTGCCTCTTGATGGTTTAGGTGACACTCGATTATAATCTAGTTCTTAATGAAGAAAAAATTAGGAGGCTGTTAACCTCAAACCAAATATTTACACATGCATTTAACTGGTGTATTTTATTTTCCTTTTTGGGCAAAGCTCGTATTTCGATATATAATACCAAGTTCTTGGTTGTTCATTGAAATTTTTGTCATCATATATTTTTAGGGTGTTATATTATCTGCTATGTTGACAATTAAAAAAAAAAAAACACGTCAACTTAAAATTAACGGGTCGAATAAATTGCGACGTTAGCAAAATCATCCATTGCTTGATGATGAGGCCATCAATACTCTTAATTGTTTGTAAAATTTACTAACAAATTTCAAACAAAGTTTTGAATGTTAACAAAAACGAACTCAAAGTTGGTTTAATTTTAAATCAATTTTTTTATTGATAACTATAAAAAATACAAATAATAAAAATTTATTATTATCTTTTTATATATTACATGATAGGGAAAAATGCACTATTACAATATAAAAGGTTTGTTTTTTTTTTGTTTAAGTTGACGTAAACATTGCGCTGAAACAGTCGTATCGGTATGTTCTACTGTAACGTGATTTGTCCAGTCCAATGACCGTACTTATTGCATCTAATTGTATCAAAAAGAATACAACATATATGAAAATGGTGATAGATGAGAAATGTACCAAACAAGTACACATGATTGTGCGTTACCAAACAAGAGGTCCATCTGACCACGTAAGAGGTCTTGTTTGAATCAAACCACTAATTTGTTACCAGACAATCCCTGATAACCTACAAACTGAAGATTACGAATACAAAATAACCAAATACTAACAAACAAATCATAATTTGAAGACAAAAAACACCATGTTTTTAAAAAAGTAAGCACAAAGACATTGAAATCAAGTATAGACCTAAAGTACGCACTTGAACATACACATACTAGTCGCTTGTCTTTTGAGGCATATGACATATTTGTGCACATCTTATATTCACAAAGTACTTTTAGTGGGAAAATACTTCATTCTTTTACATACATACATAATTGATACTGTAATATTCGTAATTTATAAAAATGTTGTTAGCCATAAAAAATGGTAAAAATAGTTTTTTTTAAAGGCGGAATTTAAGCTATTGAAAATTGATGGGCTTTTATAATCCCATTCAAGTATGGTTAAAAAAAATACTAAATAAGTTCTGGATATATCTTGGAAATCAAACTCAAATTTCATAATTATCTTTTTTATTTATCCTATAAACATAAAGGGTTACAAATATAATCAATTTTTAGATAATTTTATTAACACTGTAAGCTTTTTTGGGTCATAAATCTTGTTCAAACTCGAGTTTGGGGGTTCAGAATTGGGTCACATTTTGGAGGTAAGTCTTCGATTACAATGTGCATATTAATTTGTTATTGTCTTGTTAATTTTTGAGTTCCTAATTTTATTTATTTATGATTTTCGAAGTTTTTGTAATGATATTATTAATGGTGTTTTTAACCCAATTTTTAGAGTTACTCAAATATGAATATTTTACTGAGATCTCTTAATGAAGTTGATGGATTTCGTCTAGAAAATAACATAAAAACGTCTTCTGCAGAGAAAATAATATGAAAATCGAACGGTTTTCTAGGTTGGTTTGGAATATGGGTCAAAAATAAATAAATATGGGTAATATCGGGTGAAGAAGATAACGTCACATGGGATATTTTGTTTGGACACACTTTTTTTTTACTATTTACAGTTCAGACCTCAATTTGTAAATGACGCTTCATATTTTCTTTTCCAATAATAATATAATGTTATTCTGACATTTTTAAACCACGCATGTCAGTGATTATATATTAGCCCTGCTATTAAAGTTGTTTTCAATATTAGGAACTGTAATTCTGGCCATGTTTCATAAAATATTTTACAAAAAGGTCCAAGACCTTTATATTATGAAGATTTAACAGTCTCAATCTCGATTTAAGGATTTTATTGCATTATAACCTAGATAATTTCAAATGGAATATATATCATTTATTTATTTGTTTTTTCTAAATAAACTTTATATTTTGGTTCCAAATGTTTTTATAAATAAATTTTATAATTTAAAAGCTACTAGAAGGTTAATGTAACGTTTTATTTATTATACTTTGACATTTGTCGTGAATCAACCATCTTAAATTGCTTTGTTGATTGATAATTGCAATTTCGATCCTCAAAATATTTTCGTAATAATATTCATTTTGTTCAAAACCTCAATATTCGAGACCTTCACTTCAATTTGCGATGTTGGTTTATTTTACGTAAGAAATACGTTTTCGATTTTCCGATGTAATAAGATCTTGAAACACGATGAATATACTTAGAGTTACAGTTGGTTTTATATCCGTCCATGCATACATAGAACCTTTTGTTAGATTAGTTTGGAGAATAGGAACACCAAGTTAACCACCTGTATGGGTATTACAAGCATGTCATTGTGGCGCCAATGGCGTGACATGACTTGTGGCGGTGTGATTAGTTCATGACGTCTCCTTCCGATTTATGTACGCTATGATGAGAGTTGGCTATGGTGTGATGGGTTATCAAGAGTCGTATGGGTTGGCTCTAGGATTTTTGGATATCTAGTTAGGGGAAATATCGGGCTTTCTGAATAGAGGACCACTTGCCTTTGAGGACTTATATTCATTTGAAGTTAATTTTAGTTTTGAACTAAAATAATATTTTGGAAGTTAATGTTTACTCGAGATTTAACTTTTATTGCTGCAACTTTAAGTCAAACTTTTGTTGGAACTAAGTGGCTTGATTTAATTTCAGACATTTTAATGATTCATTATGTTATTTTGAAATTCTGTTTCTGCTGCGTATTTGGGGTGTTTCAGATACAGACGTCAATAATTAACAAATAATTTAATGATTTATTTAAAAATGAAATAATTTTTTTTTTTTTTTGATGATTAGTCAAATTATGGAAAGCATAGAAAGTAGTAATTCGACATATAAAGAAAAATGTGGTTTATGAACCTCTTAACACTTGGCTCCATACCTTTGTCCATTCGCTCGCCTGGTTACTCCTTCCAACGACGCGTTTCCTTCGTCTTCGTCTTCTTCCTCTTCCCCACTTCAGGTGCTATCAATCACACCTCTCTCTTTCTTCCCGCAACATCACTCATGCAAGAATCTCGAATCTTACTCCGTCATATCCTCAAATTATCACATCGATCTCTGCGAACATTATTATGAAGAAAACCCAATTCCAGGGTGGGATCTGTTGCCTCTAGCTTTGTAAACTCTCCTATATTTATAATTCTCAATTCAGAAGTATAATTCAATTCGATTGATTTGATTTGAAAGCCAGAGAACAGTTGGTCTGTACCTTTATAATATACGTGAAAAAGGGTTGTTTCTTTCTTGTTTTTTTTTTTCTTTTGTGGTTTACTAGGGTTAAGTTGATCGTCGTTGGTCTTCAATTTGAGATCTGGATGATAGAGTTTGAATTCAGGGGTTGATAAAGAAATTGATTGACGAAAGATGGATATGGATTATAATGGCGAGGCGGGTTGTCTTGACCCTGAATTGTTACAGCTGAATGAAGTGTCTCCCTTGGCTATTAAATCAAATCCTTATGTTGCTGAGAAACTGTTCGAGCAATGGCTTTCGCTTCCTGAAACCACTCCTTTGGTGAGTACTATAATTCATATTTCTTTTTACAAGAATCGCGTTTGTTTTATACTGTTTTCATTGTATTTCTATATTATCAGTTATTGGTGGTTAGGCTGGTTTCTGTCAGACGTAGCTTGGTTAAGGTGGCAATATGGCAGTTAATAAATGGTGAAATTGATGCTCTTCGTCAGTTCATGGTTTATCTCGCTTAAATTAGGGTTTGGCATCGACGGTTTACCACTTTACCTTAATGAAAAACTTGGTAGGAGAAGTAACTACCAACTATCACATTGATAATGCTGCCTTGGCTCTATATGCTACTTACTGAAGCTTTTTCCTTTAATATGTCAATGACGCATTGGTGTTTCACTTGATTTTCTTGGGTGACAGCAGATAGATCCTTTTTTCAAAACTACATACAGACAGTCTAGAACAAATATGCTATCTGAGTGAGGATTCCAGTGGGGAAAGGCTTCTAATGTATCATTCTCAATTGATTTGTATAAAGAGAGTCATAGAGTATACCTTCTGAAGAAGAAAAAAAGGAGAAAAACTTACCAAAATTTCATCACAAATGGGTTGGTCATTGATCTTAATTTTGTGGGGTTTTGTGGTCACGTTGACCGGTCCAGTCCTGTTCTATCCAGTTAAGTCATGACTCATGTCCATTCCTTTCATGCTCGGTCCTGTTCTATCCGGTCTGCACACCAAACCCTACCTTAGGTAACACATGAATTTAGGGCTGCAAACTAGTCGAGTCTTTAGTGTAATTCGAACTTGACCGACTCAAGACTCTATTGAATTCGAATTTGAGGACAATACAAGCTTAAAACATACGGATGAGTTGAGTTTGAGATTATGAGAACTCAACTTGAATTCTTATCAAGCTTTTTGGACCCTGTGTATGTGTTGATATGTATATATTTATGGTCAAGTTTTTGTCGAGCTTGTTTTATCGAGCACAACACATTTATAATTGATATTGTTGAGCTATTTTAATTCTTGAATTGGACTTGCTTTATCTTTTGATGGGTATATTTGAGCTATTCGCGCTTTTATACCAACCTCAAATCTTTCCCGAGCCAAACTCGACCCTGCATCAAGAGAACTCGTTGGGGTGTTGAATTGTGTTAGAGTTTAGTCTAACACTGTCGAGTCAAGTTCGAGGACTCTCAAGCTCAAACTCAGCCAAGCTCCGTTTGTAGCCCTATAGATGATTACTTTAGTGGGAACCCCTTTGGAGGAAGTCATTTGCATCAATTACAGTTACGACATTCATTTTACATTTTGCATTATATTAAAACATGTTATGTTGTTTAAATTTCACATGAATAGCAAAAGATTTAGGATTGTGTCCTGCCATTGATTGTGTTTTTCCTCTCTTACGGGCACCAACATTTCATGCATTGTTTGTCTAAGCCGGTAGTCTAGGTGTCAACGAGAAACTTTTCTGCCACTTCTTATGTGTAAGGTTAATAGTATATTACCAATATTATGAATTTTGTGTTTATTTACTTATATAGTTGATAAGTATATCAATGTTTACATATAAGTAGGCATCAACAGTTTTAGTGTCCATAGCTTGAATCCCGTGTATGCACAAACCAATGATCAATACATATGTTATTCATAGGATGTAGAGTAATTCTTTTTGGGTTTTATTATTTGTATGCCAGAACCATCTAAGTGATATTATGATATTATCTGGAATGTCTATGTGCTGCTTTCTTTGTTGTATGCCGACCACTTTCATTAGTTTTAGTTTGTTCAGTACATGGGAAAACTGTTCATGGTATTTCCTCTCTGGTTATAGGTAAAATCTTTGCTTAACAATGCTAAGGCGGGTGTTCCATTGAATGTGTCTGGATCAATTTCCAGCCCAAAGGCCACTTCTGGAAACTCGATACCTTCCATGTTTCCTGGTGGCAGTACACCTCCACTTTCACCTCGGAGCTCTTCTGGTTCTCCTCGTATTATGAAACAGAGAGCAGGCCCATCGGTCTTAGGTTCTCCTTTGAAGTTAGTGAGCGAGCCAGCAAAAGAGTTGATACCTCAGGTATGACAGAAAAAGCAACCTAATCTAAATTCTTATTTGTTTGTATGTACCATGATTCAATCTGCTAATTGATTGCGTTACTGGTCTATTGTGTATATCTTGTTTCTTAATGCTCTATTTTTGACCAAAGTACATGCAATGGTTGCAGTTCTACTTTCAGAATGGTCGTCCACCCCCAAATGAACTTAAAGAACGATGTTTGTTTCGAAGTAACCAATTTTTCTATGGTCATATGGAAGGATTACAACTGCATGGTGAGGTGTTTCCCTTATAGTAATTATTCATATTATACCATGAACTATCAGTTTATACCATCAACTGAAAATCTAGGGTATGTATGTTGATAGTTTATTGTGCTAATTTTGAATTGAATGAATAGAATTCAAACCAGTTACGAAGGAAATTTGCAAGCTGCCATCATTTTTCTCCACCGCTCTTTTTAAAAAGATTGACGTTAATGGCACTGGCGTTGTGACCAGGTATATTCTTATTTAAGCTTTTATGAGTAGTTGATCTGAATTTCTCGAAAATCCATCTTAATAGGTTGTAATGATTGGTAATGCGTAGTGGTCATTTTAAAATAAATAATAAATATGATAGATATTTGCATCTTTTACTACTTTGTTTGTGATACACTATGAGATGTATGTTGTTCCACATTGTCCCTTGCTAATCTGTACCTAATGAAACTGATGACCCCAAATCTAAAAGGGAGATTCAGATGCAGGACTAAGATTTGTAATTCTTTCTGTGGGAGATTTGTTCTGCTTTTGTTGCTTAACAGGTTTCTATATCTAGTTGTTAAAAGCGTGCCTGAGGCGTGCCTAGGCTCATAAGGCTCAAGTCTTGGGCTTTTTTCAAGTCGAGGCTTGGCATATTCACGAGGCTCAATAAGCACTGCTCCTTGGCTTAGGCGCCTTGTGGGCCTAGGTGCGCCTCATAAAGAGTTGTTAAATACCTAGTCAAACCCTAAAGATTAAATAAGTTTTCTCATCTTCTCATCTCCTAGACTTCTTAAGAGAAGTGTTATTAAATAGATGTCATAAGTGAAACTCTAATATTAAGTACCCAGTCCTTAGAACTTCAAGCCTCCTTCTCTATAAATACCCAGACCTTAAAACTTCTCTTGAGAGGTTCAGGCCTAAAATCCTTCTGCCTCTATCTAAGTACTGTTGGTTGCTGCATTGGAGGTTGTACTTATTGCATATTTGAGTTGTGTGTAACTGTGTGAGGCGCCTCGCATTCCTGAGGCCCGCGCCTCACGCCTAAGCCTTGGGCCTAGGCCCTGGGACCCCTTTGCACCTAAGGCACCTTGAGCCTTTAACAACTTTTCCTCTAAGTTTAGTTGATACATTAATGAATTTTGCAAGGATTTTAGTCGATGAAGGAGTACAATGTTTGTATTTGATTAACAAATAGTGATTATGTTTACTTTGTTCCACCTGTGGTGATCGTTTACAGCTTATGTGGACAATTCATCTTGTAATTGGTGTCATACCTTGTGCAATAGATCTGATTCCCCTTCAGACGCTGGCGCATACTGGTCATAATAATATAATTGGTTTTGCTAGGTTGCTTTTGAAAATTCACACTTATATCATCCAATAGCAAAAGGAGATTTTGTTGGGGCATTTTTTATCAAATATTTCTTGTATGATCTTATGGTTATGAGCGATATTGTGACGACTAATTTTTATTTCCCAAAATTGGTTGTAAACATGCCTGCAGGGATGCATTTGTTGACTACTGGGTCCACAGCAACATGCTGACGAAAGATATAGCAACACAGATATTTGCAATATTGAAGCAGCCTGATTTGAGATATCTAACTCATGTATTCCTCCTTACTCAAACATCGTCATTGTCACTGGCCTTATTTGGATGCTGGAAATTCAATTTTTGCAACTTCAAAAATCTTGTGCTTACAGAAAATTTTGTTTCATAAAGGAACATAACATGACCTTCCTTCCAAAATTAACGTTACAATTTGAATTTCAAATCTGAATTCATCATTCTTGTTTTTTTCTTTGAAGTACCAAAACCTTTGGTTTTGATTACAAGTCTTCCATGATTTTATCATGGTACTGTTGTTTCCTCTGAATGTATTGCAAATTTGGTTCCAAAAACAAGTTGTTTCATCATGAAAGTCGTCCTTAATTTTGGAATGAAGGTATCAATAATATAAGATTTACCATGCAATATGATTTTTCTTGTATATCTGTACCTGGTAGTAGTATTTCTTTGTGCCGTCTCTTTGATATGGGGGTTGAACTACTTTGCAATAGGAGGACTTCAAACCCATACTTCGTGAACTTTTGACAACTCATCCAGGTCTGGAGTTCCTACAAAGCACACCCGAATTTCAGGAGAGATATGGTATGTTCCTATTTATTTACTATTATTTATCAGCAAAGCAGGGAGAGAATGATAATATTTTTATTAGTTGTTCTATAATCTGTCATTGTTCTGTTTGAAACTATTGATTAGTTTTTATATACATGACCACATGCTCTTTATGATCCATATTAAGTTCCAAGCTTTAAAAAGTGGGCTGATTAATGGCATTAAATCCTCTAGAAAACTGGGAATTATTGCACGTAATTTATGTGAGGAAGTACTTATAGGATGGATTTGCCTGGAGTCTGCAAGGAACCAAGTAATTCTATACTCTTGACTATACTTGGCCTGCGGTAATGCAATTTTTTAGAAACTATTGACCGGAGAGATATGTTAAGATTTAGATATATAAAGTACAGTTTCTGGCAATCAGATATTGGAGTTTTTTGGGGCATGGTGGTTGTCATTCAGAGAGATGGAAAGCTTTTATTTTTCGGCTGCTTACTTGCTTATTCTTTGTTTGGCATAGGGGTATTAGTCTTGTGTGTAGCTCTCCATGCTGGTGGTATCAATCAGAATGCCTTATCTGTTTTCCTAGGAAAACAGTGTCACAGGATCCTAAAAAACTGCAAAAAAATTCTTTGTGCTACCTAGGACATGGTTACCCAAGCCTTCGCAAAAGAAGTGAGATATAGTAATATAAACTTTTTTCAATAAGCAATACTATTTGATGCATGGTGCTAAATCAATTTCGATCCTAAAGATGTCCGCGAGGTCGAAGTATAAATTTCTCTCCTAGACATTTAAAAAAAAATTAATCTGAATTAGGCTAATGCTGCTATCCAACCTTGATGGAATTGGCATTCATTGGCCAATCCTAAATGCCCTTGGGGGCTGTTTGTTTAGAGCTTAATGGACGTAATGATATGGATAACTCATTCGTTAAGCCATATATGGTTGCTTGTTTGTGGCTTAATGATTAAGCCATCTACACATTTGGCTTAACTGGGATATATATAGCCCTTTCCCCCTTGCTTAATGCATCAAGCCATGTTCTTCCGACTCTACGCGCAGCCCTTTCTTTATGTGTGTGGATGCTATATGAGGTTTTTTTTATAAAAAAAATTAGATCTAACATACTTTGATGGTTAAAATTTTTGTAGTAATATTTTGTTAATGTATTATTAATTTTTTAAGATACTCTTAACTAATGATTAAATAATTTATTAAACTGAATTTTGTATTGATGTCCGCAAAAGACTACAATTCAATTTTGTACTCAACAGTGTTATTTCCCACTCTATCCTTTAAATATTATTTTGATGTTTTTTTGTGACATCTAAATAAATATTGTTTGATTTTGTATTAATGATAATTGAAGTTATTAATGATGTTGCGATAATATCATTTAATATGTATTATTAGGTTAGATCTACAATCGATACAGCTTTAGTTTTTGTTATGAATAATCCATGTATTCCGGTATACAATGGTTTTAATTATAATTTAAGTTATTAATGAACTTCCATCATTATGTTAGATTAAGTAGTTTTTATTTAAAAAATTTATAAATTGATAGTTTTATTATTCATAACTTTTGAATATATTTTTTTTAAAAATTAAACAATCATTTTCATCCAACACTTAATCTAGACGAAAGGTAAACAGTAATTTTTGTCATTCAGACTATTTACTCAGTACACAAAATATCTTAATTCATACAAAGCTTAATAGAAAATAAAGCAAACAACCCCTTAGCTGCAAAACAAATATTTTGAAACTCTTTGAGATTTGGCTAATAGGATGTCTGTTGACTAACAATTTACACCTATGATGCAAGGAACGGGTGTGGGGATATGAGTTCATGATACATGAATACCTGGACTATAATACATACATACAAGTCTAAAACCAAACAAATATAAGAACTTTCTTTTATCAATCACATATTAAATAACATAGAATAAATTTGGTGATACAATCAAAGCTCCACCACCTTCAAAGTGTTGGTATGAGGATCTGCCAAGGGAAGAACCAACATTACTAGCTAGGTTCAGATTTTCGAATTTTGAAATCCTAAAATGTATAATTTCGGTTATACTTCTTTTTAGGGTTCCATCTAAGCTATAGAAAGAGGACCTAAAATGCCTCGGGACGATTGCACGTTACATCAAGCAAGTCGAGAGGCTTTGTTTGATTAAACTTCGGGTTTGTGGATGAAATCCCCTGATGTGCAATGCAAGCTTCACTCCGAACTGAAAAAGAGCTATGGTTCATAGTATGCTGTGCAATGTCCACCATTTTCATAAACCAGAAAACTACAAGAACAATAATTATAACAAACCACTTTCAGTTAAACATCTTTGATGTTGGCAATATAAGGTTAGATGACCATTACTTACTAACTAGTTTGTGATAAAGCCTTCTTGATGCTGATGATCTACCCTTTCAATTTCATTTCGCTGTCATGCTAATTAAAAATCTTCTTTGAGAAATATATCTTATTTGATTAACTTTCTTAGCTGAATGAAACTGGATTTGATCGTCTGGTGGCCATACTCCCAGATGCAATGTGTGGATTATTAAACATGCTACTTCATAAGATATTTCAATATTTTGATTTTGTTTATTGTTCAATATCACTGTAGATTTTACCTGCTGGTGTGGAGTTTGCAATCAATGTTTTGTTGTCTTCATGTACATGGGGGGCTTGGGTAGCTCCAGATTTGGATGTCATTGGTTTTTGCACTGTAAAAATGTTGATTGCTCTTTTCTCTATGCACATCAAAACATCTATAATGTTGCCTGCATTAATTCTTTGACATGTTGCTCTTTTTTTCAAACTGACATGAAAAAGTATATTGCATTAAGGATTAACATATATGTTATTTCAATGGCCAGCTGAAACGGTAATATACAGAATATTTTACTACGTGAATAGAGCGGGTAATGGTCGTCTAACCCTCAGGGAGCTGAAACGTGGAAATCTAATCGCTGCAATGCTGCATGCAGATGAAGAAGAGGACATAAACAAAGTTTTGAGGTAATAGATTTTACAATGAAGGTTGGTGAAATAGCAAATGAGATTGTTATGAGTCGCTGCTAACCATATGTTGGGTACAGGTTACATGTTTTTCCCACTAAATAGGCCTGCTACTTCACTGAGCTCATAAAACAATAGTATATCATGTAAATAGTTTATAATACCTTTTACTGTATAGAAATGGATGATATCAGTTTGACCAATTGGATGCTTTACAAGGTTATTTGACCATTACTAAGCCAAACGATCACAATATACCCACTCGGTACAGGGTCTGTAGGGTGGGATCTATGCATACCTGTCCTCTATCCCAAAGGATAGAGTGGACCCATGAAGACCTCCGGCTTGTGCAAAAGTCTGAGCAAACAGGAAAGAAGAACCAAGAGCAGTAAATACCAGCAGCAATAAAAAGAAAAGAAACAAAAGAAATAGGCACAATGAAACAATAAAAACCAAGGAAAAACACACATTATTTTTTAAAAGGCGATGATGGTGGGTACATAACAAACTGTAAGTATTATATAATACATTGTTTCTGGACATGAAGTATATGGCGTTCAAACATTACAGAAACGTTGGTTAGAGTAAAAAGTATATGTTGTATCTTCATGTTGTTTTTCAAATGAGTGCTTACTATACCAAGAATTTCTTTCTTTGAACTTATAAAGGTATGCATTTCACTATGTTCTAAAGGACATTAATTATGATATTTTTTCTTTGCATTTCCTATTATGTTTTTGTTAACATTCGGGTAGCTTTTCTTACACTAGCATTTTTCTTGGTGATTTCTGTCATAGAAGATCATTGATTAATGACATCTATTAGCTTCACTTGGGCCATGGTTATTCACTAGCCACCAAGTTGGTTACCATCCGCTTTGCCCCTGTATACCTGCTGCTCATAGTTAATTGTATTGTCTTCAGCATGGATTAAGTCCTTTTTAAATATAATCATGTATGCTTAGACTCGGAGTAGAATAGCTTAACCCTTATAAATACTCGAGCCTTTTAACATGTATGAAATGCCATTAGCTAATATAAAAGATAAGGTCGTTGAACTTAAGAAACATTTTTTTTCCCTCATGGTAACTCTTATGATAAGTTATAGAACTGTGTATTAATATCATTTTTGTCCACAGATATTTCTCTTACGAGCACTTCTATGTCATATATTGCAAGTTCTGGGAGTTGGACACGGATCATGATTTTTTAATTGATAAAGAGAACCTCATAAGATATGGCAACCATGCATTGACCTACAGGATTGTTGACAGAATATTTTCCCAGGTATGTTAATAGCTGCCTTTAGTCTAGGCAAGGCCACCTGCTCTGAAAAAATAATATATATTGTTTTGCAACATGTATTTAATCATTTTCCCCCTTTTGCCTCCTATTTAAACTTGAAACATCAGGTTCCAAGAAAGTTCACCAGTAAGGTTGAAGGGAAAATGGGATATGAAGATTTTGTCTATTTCATTTTGTCTGAAGAGGATAAATCATCTGAGCCAAGTCTTGAGTACTGGTATGACTTTTTTCCTTCTGTTTTCACTTCCTATGCCCTTGATGCATCGGGTTTATCATGGTTTTAAGTTATACAATTGCATATATAAGTTTTCAATCGCCAAAGCTTGCTTGGAATTTGCAAATAGGCATTGGTAGTTGTGATTAGTGCTTTGAAATGAATGAGCAGTTTGTATAACTACAAAATATGAAGATAAAACGGGAAATTAGTAGATGAAATGATAGATAACCATGTAAGACATCACATGGACATGTACAATGTCAAGATATAAGCACTCTAGTTAGGCATCTCAACAGTATTAGGACACAGTTACTGCTTGGGAAGGACTACTACAGTTCATTGTCCCATCCTTTTCTCAAGATCTGTAATGTAGTGAACCTTCCTCTATGTTAGGCGTTGTATTATTTACTTTCAGTGGAGCACCCATCCTTCTATTTACTTTCCTACTATTCTATAACCTATTATCAAACTGCCCAAATCCATCCAAGTGGCCTTTGTTTTGGACAATGCACCAAGAGGAACCTACAAATGAACCAGATGATATTTTTTCTTTTACGAGCACAATCTGGAAATTTCCTGCAAAAGACTAGTGAGTCAATCTTATTGACATTTCCTACTTCTCTTTTGCAAGTTAAAGTTCATGCAAGTAGCTACTTTGGATTTTGCTTCTTTTCGCCTTTGCTTCTCCCACCTTTTTCAACTTGATATATTTGTAGACGAGAGAGTATGGTTGATGACTTGATGTTATACAATGGTGAAAACTGGGTGGTCTGGGGTACTATGATTGTTTGGCACCCCATTTGACTAACTGACGAATTTGGTTGGTCTTTTGAGAATTTCAGAACCCTGATAGTCAAGGTTACTGGCCTATGAAGTTGATAAGCTTTGCTTCAATATCTAACCTTGTTTTGTCTTCAATTTTATATTATATTTCTTACGTTTTTCTAGTCAATAATTTTGTAGGTTTGTGTCTTCAGCTTCTCTTTACATACATTATTTTGTACCGGTGACATAAGAAACAACCAATTACTTTTCAGGTTCAAGTGCATAGACTTGGATGGAAATGGGGTGCTGACCAGGAATGAGATGCAATTCTTCTATGAGGAACAGTTGCATCGCATGGAATGCATGGCTCAAGAGCCTGTTCTTTTTGAGGACATATTATGTCAGATAGTTGACATGATTGGACCAAAGGTACTTGGTTACTTTATATTATCACTGTATCATTTGAATCTAAGCTTTTGATCTTTTTTATTCATTACAGGTTTTTAATCTCTTTACGCGTGGTTAAATTAATAATATATATAGATTGTTGCCTTTGGATGTATGTACATCAAACTTTCTATTTTGATATTTGTTCAAAGATATGATGTGTGGGGCATCTTCTGCAAAGTTGGCTGCAAGCAGAGTCATCTGCATCAGCCTGATAAAATAGCTTGGGAATCCTATATGGTTCTCTTCTTTAACCCCGGGAAAACTATTTACTTTTTGCAGTTTTGACATATTATCCTATGACTGCAAGATTGTTACGAGTTCTTTAAATTTCCGAGAACTTTCATATTCACATTGAACTTTATCACAGATACTACAAACTGCAAAGATCTGGTTTCACAAAGACGACAAAATTCATATCAATAGTAAAGTTAAAAGTACTGAATGTGAGTTCATACGTCAAAGTGTGCCTCTTTGGAATCAAAGAGGGAGAGATATGAACAGACATTTATTTAATTCATGCTTGTGTACCCTTGAGGCAGTTGACATGGTGAATATTCATGTTTTTACAGACACTCATAATTTGTGTTATGATCCTAAATAATGCTTTTGAATAAGCATGAGTAATCAAATGAAATAAAGCACTGCATACAATATCAAAACTGTTTCTCAATTAAAATGCAAATGTTGAGCTTTCTCAAAAAGTTAGTCATAAGCATTTGAAGTATGATTATGTTTGTGCATATGTTCCCAAGCAATATGATACAACTGGTATAGAAAATTAGCATTCAATTATGATTTGTGTTTTAACTCTTTGAGTTGCAGGACGAGGGATATGTTACTCTTCGTGACTTGAAAGGAAACAAACTTTCTGGCAGTGCTTTCAATATCCTTTTCAATCTCAACAAATTCATGGCCTATGAAAGTCGTGACCCCTTCCTCATTCGTCAGGTATCTTAGCCATCTTTGTTACAATCAGCAATTGTTGGGTCATACTGCAGACAATGCAGCTCCAATTCTGCTAAACCAAACTTTCAGTAAAACAAAACACTAAAACAGCATGTCATTGTGAACAGGAACGTGAGAATCCGACATTGACAGAATGGGATCGGTTTGCGCATCGGGAATATATTAGGCTTTCAATGGAGGAAGATGCTGAAGATGCCTCTAATGGTAGTGCAGATGTATGGGATGAATCTCTTGAAGCCCCCTTCTAAGTTCTAGTTGGGAGGATACTAATTGAGGTATTTTTGGAATTATACATTCTAAATGCTATGCATGAGTATTTGAACTTGATAGGTACAAGTAATGTATGAAATTGCTTTTTCAACCACAAAATTAGGAGCTATAAGCTCAATATAACGTGGTATAAACAACTGCATATCTCCTTCACGAATTTTCTTGTGAACAATTTGATCACTATTGTTTTTAATCCCCTAAACTAAAAAATTAAGTGTAAATACATATGAACATGAACAGTTTTTTGGTATTTAATAGATAATTATTGTTGCTTTCGGCTTTGGTGATTTCAAACAATTGTTCTATTTTTTTCATTTAGTGAGATAGTTTCAAGTTCTGTCTCTCTCTACTTGAGGAATAATTTCTGCTTTGTGCTTTTCCAAAGACAAATTATCAAGTTCTATTACTCGCGCCTCATGAAAATGATAAGTTTTGACTTTCCATGCAGTTTAGTAGAAGTGTTTGATCTTTAGTGAAATAAACAAAATACCTTTAGTAATGACAAAAGGGGTGTTTGGATGCGTTTTGTGATTGAATAATTAAAATAAGATGATCAGTTTTAATAAACTAGATGCAGAAGATAGTATTTCAACATGCTTGGAAAAAGCCTGTGTCTCTTCTGCGTACATCTAAACCCCTACCTCTGGATTGGTTTGGTTTAACATGTTAATCCTGTACTTGTCATTATAGTTCTTTGTTATTGCTGCCATTTACAATGATTGCAGCTTCGAACATTCCATATCTACTTCTACTCAAGAACTTATTTCGTTACTTTTTATCATTCTTAAAATCACCTTATCTTTTGCTGCAGACGAGTTCAAACATTCTTTAATTTAAGCGGGATTGCCCAACAAGAAGGCTGCAAAGCTTTTCGATCAGTCACCAAGTATGATGAAGCTGAAAGGATTAATCTCCACAAGATACATCCAGCAAATCAAAAAGGGGTTTCCAGTTTCCAAATTGCACGTCAGCAGAAGGGTCTTGGCTAGAAGATGAAGTCATTCTCAGGTGATTTAATTGGAGACATTTCAGTGTTCTGGAAACATATTGCTTTTTAGCATTTTCCCTTTAGAAACTGCTTTCTCTTCCATCTCCCAAAAGGGTGTTATGTTCATAACATCTTTAAAATGTGCATTAACATTTCCTTAATGGCATAGGCTGCTCAGGTTCTACTTCAACTTCATATCTTTGATGTAGTTTTAATTTTCAATTCCTACTGGACATATTTGTTTCAATGTCAATTGAGATTTCTGTATGTAATGTCTTCATTAATGGACATAGAGATAGAATGGCACTAGTTTCGTATTTTTGGCAGGATTTCTTATTTTAAGTCGACGATGTGGCTTTCCCTTCAACTAAGGATGACTTGCAAACAGTAGATTTGTTGTGTTTCTTTTTAACGAAATCAATGTTTTGATCGTTCAGATATATTTCATTCGTTATATTCAGTCGTGGGCGCATCTTATTATATCTATTTCTTTTATAAATGTGGGTGCTTGGGTTAGCGTGCGTACATTACAGCTAATTCCGTGAGGTTCTGAAGTTAATGGTTAGACAAACCCTCTCCGGTGATTGGGACTTGCGAAAAAAGATAGTTTTAATGCAGTTATGTAGAAAGTTTGATTTCATATTAAATGTTTAAAATGCTATTTTTCAGTACAATTGAGGAAATTTTAAGATTATAGTCTCATAAAATCTTCTTGTTTTTGTTTTTGTGGTTTGTATGAATGAGATGTTTATTTACGCATAACGTTTTATATAATAGTTTCAGTTTGTATGTTTGCATGGCTTTACAATTAGATTTAAAACCGACCTAATGGATCAAATATATGGACTCCTTATAAAATGAATATTTTATAAATAATTAAACCAAAAATGGAAGTGACATGAGCAACTTTAAAATCAAATCGTTTCAAATTTTCATATTTTAAATAATTAAGCTTTTAAACAAATGTATCTTTATATTTATGGAACGGAAAAACTCATAATATAAACGTCCATTGGTCATGTGCCTTTCGCGTGATTGGCATTTTCATCTTTATACCTCTTTTTTTTATTTTTCTTCAAAAAATAAAATCGTGTTTATGAATTTGAGGGATGAAAACCAATGTACATTATGAATTTGAGGGACGAAAACCGATGTAACTTATGAATTTGAGCGTCGGAAACCAAAAAGAAGGCATAGATAAATGATCAAAATGTGATTTATAAATAAAGCAACCATTGATGCTCGTGCTTTATTTGGTTCTTCATCTTCAACACTCGTCATGGCTTTTGTTTAGGAACGATTATGGTTCAGATTGTCGTGTTTTATTTTAGTTTCTAGTTTGAGTGGCATAAGCAAATCCTAGAAGAAGGGGAAGAGCGAATGAAGTAGTTTTGGGTCAACAATTCGAATATGGTTCTAGACTTATAGTTTACGAACTATTCAGATTCAGATGGTATCGGTTTACAAACTTGATGGTTTTGATTTCGAACGATTCAGATGAAGAACACTTCAACAAAAACATCAAAAAGTCAAAGATCCAACAATTCAGATTTAGGGTCTTGATTTCGATATAGATTTAGATGCATTAAATAAATATAGGGTTGTTTTTATATGGATTTAATTTAGATTTAGGGGTTTCTTATTAATCTGATTTGTATGAATGATGATGGCTATGGATTGTTGGTTCTCTTCGTGTTCATCTTTAAATGAGTTATGTTATTTCTTCTCATTCATGTTCATCTTTATACGACTTATCTTCTTTTATTTGTTCCAATTCGATGGGTGATGGTTGTGGGTGGCAACGATGGTGGTGTATGTGAGATTTGTAGGTATATAATCTTAAATGAGATTTTAATTAAATCTGTGACCTTCTCATTAGTATAAATCTATTTTTTTTTACACAACCAGGAATTTAATTAAAAACTCATTTTACGGTATTTACGTAAATGACTTTCATGTATGTTCTTGGTTGAGGAGGAAGGAGATGGGAGGAAGAAAGGTAAAATGACAAAATTACCACTCACATGAGGGGTATATGGATGACCAACGGAGCCTTACTTAGCGGTGTTAAGGAGAAAGACTATATTGGGCCAAAAAAACAAAAAATGGACCATTCATTGTATTTTACGAATTGTAGGGACTAAAACCAAAAAGTAATCATAGACAAGGGACCAAAAGTAAAAATTAACTCTCCTATTTTAGTTCCAACCGGTTTTAGGTGAAAAAGAACCGGATTTTAGAACAATCCGATTCGGCTCTATTTTCCGAATCTGTATTTTACGCTTGGATACGTTGCCCATTGACTCCAAAAGGAAGGTCATACCCTGGATTCCTAATTCATTCCCCCCCCCCTCCTCTGCTGTCTCCGGCCACTTCGCCTTCTCGCGATTACGGGTTCGCCACTCGTAATCGCCCTACTAACTACCCGTCGTCGGCAACTGAACTAACCGCTATAAGTTCGCTCGTAGTTTCTTGCTCACCATTTTGTAGGGTCTCAAATTGTTGTAGTCAAAGTCAGTTGTTTCCAAGGTCTGTCGTTCTTGCATCCTTTTAATATCTCATCTCGTCGAACAAGGTATGATGTAATACTTGGTATTTTTGTTCTTCTTAATCAATCTTTATTTGTTTTTAAGGGTAAGAAGTAATTAACTGAAACGAACTGAACCCGATACAAGTTGGCGGATTAGGAAAAAAGAATGCTATGCTGGGCCTAGGGTATGGGCATCCCGTATAAACCCCCTTTTCTCCACTTTCTTTCAGGGAACGCGAAAAAGAGGTGTAACCGCTAAAGTGGTTTCTTGCGACTGGTTGTGCTATATCGGTAAGTTCTATGACTCGCATATACTTGGTGGAAATTAGTGCCTATATTGTTAGGGATGGTCAATTACTGCATTTATAACTAATATGATCGAAAAATAATTTTGATATTGTATCACTTTGAGACGATTGACAAGGACTGGGACATCTTCCATTCCTCCATGTATCATCTACTTGTACGTACAATCAGTTGATGCACATGTTGTCTTAGAACCCATTAGTTGTAGGTTAAAATGTATAAATACTACTATTTAACTCCCATCTAGCATTGTTTTGATGTATGCAAATGGTTGCAATTGAACCCATTAGTTGTAGTTAAAATGTAATGCACAACAAGCTAAGTTTTGTTTAATTTCAGGAGGACATTGTGAGCTTCTAAATGTTTGTCTTTCTTACTGGTCTTATCTATGTGTTTAAGTTGCCATGTACATTAGTTTCTACTTGCATTTCATGTTTACTTGATTGCATTTTCTGCTTGCACACCATTGATTCATGCACACACCATTGAATAGTTATTCTACTGGTTGTATTTCCACATTTATCTGTTATATCACCTGTCTTATTTCCTGTTTGAAAAAACTTATGTTTCGTGCACAAACCGGGGGTCTCCATGGAAACAGCCTCTCGATCCTAGTGGTTTAGGTAAGGTCTGCGTACATCCTATCCGGTTACCCCTCCTAGACCCTACTTTCGAGTGGGATATACTGGGTTCGTTTGGTTTGCTTTGGTTATAGTAACCTAAAAATTATGCTAATTCGTTGGTGCGGTGAATTAAAACCAATCATTGTTATTTTCTTTATGTAGATTGGACAAGGTCCTTAAAATTTAGTTGTGGCTATGATTTAATGATGGATGTTGTTGAATATTTGAGGTTTTATGTGCCGGGTTTGATGTTACTTTCCTATTCTTTACCTACCTTTCCATTATTGGAAGGAGGTGTTACATATGATCATTTTATGTTTTTTTCGTTTTACTCTGTCCGTTGAAATATCTGTACTTTTAAAATTTTTATATTGTTTTTTTTTTGAAACTAATGCTTGTTAAAAAATTTACTGTTATAATTTATTTATCAAAAACCACAATCACCCATTGTAATTATCGAATCTGTGAGAAAAACTATCAATTCTTTTTAAAGCGAAAAATGTACATACTATCCCAGCCCCACTGCCTCAGCTCCTTCCTACCTTGGTAATTTGAGGCCGTGAACTTGGGACCTGACTTTGGAAGCTTGAAAGTTTAATTGGTGCAGCTAGGTATTCCAACTTCATATTGCTTTACTTGTTTGTATTAATTGTTAAAATTTGAAAGTTTGAAATGTAAGTTGATTTGAAGCCTTAAATCGGAAACCTTTTATTGTGTAGTTTAATTTTAGTGTGTTGTGTAATTGTGAAGTATGAGGTGTCAAAATATACCAGAAGCTGTAATTTTACTGGATTGGATCTGGGTATGTTTGGAATATTGATCATTTTTTCTCTAATGATTGTATATAATTTCTTACTGACAGTTTTCTGGTTGTGGGCATCTTGTTAGCAAGCACTTCTTTTAGTCCTAAAAAGAGTTGAACCTTACACTGTCAACCAAAATAAATCTATAAAGAGAAGATGAAGGTGGTAGGGTTAGTCAGTGGCGGCAAGGACAGCTGCTTTGCCATGATGAAATGTGTCCAATATGGCCATGAAGTAAGACTACTCCATGTCTACATGGATGAAGTGGTTATTGATGTCTAGTTTGTTATGTACTACTTGGAGTGAATGTTAATTAAACATGTGATACTTGTACCGTAGGTTGTTGCATTGGCGAACTTATTGCCTGCCGATGATGCTGTGGATGAGCTTGATAGCTACATGTATCAAACTGTAAGTCTCTGTTACAAAGTCACAAGCATAATTCATGATAATGCAAAATTTAAAGGAATTGAATTCTGATAGTGGTATGCAATTTTTTTTTGGACTTGACAATTGGGTACCCCTAGGCTGCTAGGCAATGCAATTATGGGGATGAGATAATTGGGTATGAGATAATTTGGACCCAATGCTTATGATTATGGGTAATTATGGATACTTGTGAAGCTTATTTATTTATTTTAAGACACACACAAACTTTTCTAATTTACAAGCTACTTTTCAATTGTCAACTAAATAAACAAGTATACAAAAATCTGATATTGCATTCAGTATGCACTTGAAAAAAAACATCGATATTTATCTTGAAGAATATAATTTGGAAGTTAAAAGAACTTCAAAAAATATGTAGCCTAACCTAATAATATGTTTTGTTATGTACATGATATAATGTTGTCTTTGAAAGTTTCATGAAATTTCAGAAAGATATCTTATTGTTAACCTTTGGTGTATCATTGCCCTGTACATATATCATCTTGTTGTCCAGTTACTAGAAATGAAATTCTATGTAGCAAAATGTGATATCTACCTAACCTATTGGGAGGAAGCAATATTAGAATACAATTTATATCTAGCTTGTTGGATTTGAGAAATACTGAATGAACATAGCCGATACGATTTGTATTATGTGCTAAACTAATTGCTTCGTGTTTGCATTTCCCAGGTTGGTCACCAGATTGTCGTCAGTTATGCTAAATGCATGGGAGTGCCTTTGTTTAGACGAAGAATACAAGGATCCACCAGGCAAGCTATTTAACCGGAACTTTTTTTAGCATAGCTTTTGGATTTATTCTGGAAAACATACGCTTTTAAAGCAATACATAGCATACAATTGCATTTTCCTATTTAGTAGAACTTCGAATTGTTGATTGTTTCATTTTAGTTCTTTATTGAATCTTAGGTGGTCAAACAAATTAGATGAGGGACTGTATTTGATCCGTCCATCTTTCTCAAATACATATGCATCTGTTTTTTTATAGTTCTTGCTCGAAGTTTTAGACTGAATTCTGATTGGCATGTGTTGTATTACTTGGTAGTTGGTGCTTGCGAACTTTATGTGACCAGAGTTGTCTCTTTGAGTTGGTTAGGATGTTATGTAAAATGAAAAGACAACATGGTAGGCTTCTGTTATGTTTATCACTGAAATTGCCATAAGTCACATTATTTTCCTGAAAATATGTTGTTTGCATGTTCATCTTGTACTTTTCAACTCCAGCTTTTTTGGTAAGTGGTAGAATGCCATGCCCATTTAACTTTAAAAATTCCATACTTATATCGGATAATAGTAACAGTTTATGTCATACTAAAATTAATCCTTATACTTTATTGTGGAACGATCTATTCTACAGGTGCATGATATTATGGAAGAGCAACTGTAATCACTTTGATTTACAAATCTCAACTATGCCAAGAAATTAAACCCAAATAAAAAGGCAAGCATGGTCTAAGGTTATAGATCATAATAAGAAAGCTACAGCCTACAAATGAGTTTGGACTTTCTGTTTGTCAGTTTTCTTGCAGTGACTTGTTTCTCAACAATGTTCAAAGGAATGGGATGGTTGTAGTTGTAAAATTTGCTGCTGTTGTGGGCTTCAATGTCCGGGGCATTGGCTTTGGTTGATAACACTGATAGGTTTTTGGCTTCTAGTTGAAGTTCCTACATTAAATAGACCACGTCTAGCCAAAAATGGGTATTCATTTTTGACAACTTAATTTATTTGATAATTGATATACATATCAGTGTTAGTGATTGAGAGTGAGGTGATCTCTTGCATCAGTTTTCTTGTCAAACAAATAGTAGCGTTTAACAGTGTACTTCATTTTAGACATATTGATAGCCACTCTGCCTTTTATCTTAAACTGTAAAATTCGGTGTCAGTTTCTTGTAAATGAAGGCTAGCAATTATTTTGACATGTTTATATGAAATTTGTCTAAGAAAACCAAATGACTTGACTAAAGAAATCAAATGACATGACCAACATACGGTCACAACTTATTCTTTTCTGGGAGTGGGGTACCAAAGATCTACCCAAGTCAGCATATGGAAGGGCCACACCACATGTGTGATATAATAGCTTCTTAAAGCTAGCTTGTTCTTTTTTTACTTTAATTTTATCATAGTCTAGTTAAAAGTTGTCCTGAAAATGTAACAAAGTGCTCCAGCTGCAAGAGAGCACAAGGGCAATGGTTATCAAATACCCCTTGGGAACATTGTGCAGGATGCAATTTTATATATGAATTCAGCAGATCTTTAATGTTTTTTTGCGGCATTGTTGTATGATTTTCTGTCTACGCATTCGTTTTTCTAATTTGAATTAGGTAGGTTCCATGTTGACTTCTTTCTATAAACTTGCTTCCGTATGCTTTTGATGTTATGTTGATGATATTGTCTAATTGGACAAAGAATTTGAGAATTATCTCTGTTAACTTATTTATATTGTTGAATGTACAGGCGTCATGACCTTAGCTACAAAACGACTCCTGGTGATGAAGTAGAAGACATGTATATCCTGTTAAAAGAAGTCAAAAAACAGATACCTGCTGTCACAGCAGTATCATCTGGTGCAATTGCTTCTGACTATCAAAGATTACGGGTAGAAAATGTTTGTTCACGACTAGGGCTGATTTCTCTAGCCTATTTATGGAAGTTGGATCAATCATTGCTCCTACAAGAAATGGTACCTGATGTTTTATTATATTGGGTGGCAATCCTGTGAAATGTTACTAATCTCTACTAAACATTTTCTCTGTTCGGTCTTTTCTTTTTTGGGCCTAACCAGATTGAAACTGGGATCTTCGCTATCACAGTAAAGGTAAACGCAGTAATACTTAACTCTGAATTTACATTCCTGTTAAACCATTGCATACTCCTCTGAGTTGAATTTGGATAAATCAACAGGTGGCTAGGCAGTAGCTGTGGTTACAATTTATCACGCTCTTAAAGTTCTATTCATATAACTAGAATGTATAAGTAAATATACGACATTTAGATTATGTGGGCAAGGGAACTGGATCATATAATTCTTTATGTTGAATATCCTGAAAGGATACTAATTATAATATCAACTTTTTGTTAGTGTGTGTGGCGACACTTGTCAGAATCTCTTTGTGTCAAATATGGCAAGGTCCTACCAAAGGGGAAAGGTGCAGGGAGACTTGGTAATAGAAGTGCATGTACCTCAGGGTGGTCTGTAGTAATTGGTTATCTGCCTATGGTTGTCGACACATATTTATGCCAAACCAGTTGGGGTAAGCCAAAAGGAAACTCAAACAGGGAAATAGGAGGAACATAAATAAAAAGCTCCCTGAGTCTAACTATATCATCAGGTAGAGGGTTTTATCTACAAGACTACTTTTAGTCTTCCTGATGCAGTCTTGTAATGCACAGTTGTATACAACTATCTTACTATCTTACTCTTTAATGGTTGTTTAACCTAAGGTCATTCTCCTTGAATTTCTTAGGTCGCAGCAATTGGCTTAGATCCTTCAAAGCATTTGGGGAAAGAGATGTCATATCTATGGCCACACCTGCTTAAGTTAAAAGAGTATGTTGGTTGCATAAAGAAGTTTTATCTTTGCTTTCTTTATCAACATTTCAAGTTATAAGTTGTCTTGGCAGGTTATATGGAAGTAATGTATGTGGTGAAGGGGGAGAGTATGAAACATTGACGCTTGATTGCCCCCTCTTTGAAGTAAGTCTTCTGGTATAAGGAATTACAAACCAAAAAAATTTGCGGCAGCTTTTGTTTTGAACTGGAAAGTAGAACCTTAATTGCTTTCGTATCCACCGTCCATTTCTTTCAGTTTTGGTCTCTATGAAAATAGCTGCGTTATTACCTCTTGAGCTTTTGTACACTTATTTTACTACTGCTAAGTTTTGGTGACTTGTAATATTTATCTTCCTTTCTGTTCATGTTTCCGGTTTCACCTTTGATTTATTCCAGTACGCTCGAATTGTTCTAGATGAATTCCAACTTGTACTTCAGTCTTCAAATTCCATAGCTCCTGTGGGATTCCTTCACCCCTTGGCATTCCATTGCGAAGATAAGCCAAAATCTGTTTGTGTAAGTGACAGTAACAGAAGCAATGGTTTTTCTCTGGAGAATATGGAGTCTGTAATTGAAGTACAAAACGAATGTCTAGAAATAGTGGAAGAGAAGTGCCGGCCATCTGAAGTTGGCTTCGATTTGGCTGAACTTGAGAAGCATAGACCTCATATTTCGAAAACTCGAAAGGAGAACATTTTCTCGATGTCTTGCTGGCTGCAAGGCTCATCAGAAACTTCAGTAGGTTAGTAATAGTGATAATAGAAGTTTTCAATTATTGGTGCATCTTTAAATTGTTGTTTTTTGTTATGTCTTCCATGTATTTCATATTGTTCAATGTGTGGATATCTACAAACACACACACACACACACATATTTACATACGTACATATATACACATACATACATCTCTCTCTTTAGTAAATTTCTGTGGTGGCAGATCTGCAGGAAGATCTGAAGATCATATTGCTGAAACTTGAATCACAGCTTAATGAAGTTGGTTTTTCTTGGGAGAATGTGCTTTACGTTCATCTGTACATCTCGGATATGAATATGTTTGCTATTGCAAACGAAACATATGTGAACTTTATAACCCAGGATAAATGTCGCTTTGGTGTCCCATCCCGCAGTACGATTGAACTTCCTCTGTCGCAAGTTGGTCTAGGGAGGGCCTATGTAGAAGTCTTGGTAACAAATGATCAAAGTAAGAAGGTACTTCATGTGCAGAGCATCTCTTCATGGGCTCCTAGTTGTATTGGACCATACAGCCAGGTAAATTATCTAAACTTATATCATCTGTTTGTTGAAGCATTAAATCATACTCTTGCCATCTCATGAAATTTGCATTGTTTTACTGGCACATAGCCTTTGGAAAATGTTTGATTATTCGTCAAATCTCTAGAATACCCTAAGATGGTGACAAAATGAACGGATCTTTTAGTCTCAAGCCAACTTTTTATTGCACAAATGGGTAAATGTAGTTTGAAAACTTCCCTAAAATGAAAATTTTCCAATTCTCAGGGAGCATCCCAAATTGGGAAGTGTTGCAATTTTTGTGGGATGGAGTAAATATTTAAAGCTTAAACATCTATAAGATTTTTTTTCTTCAATGCATCTTAAAGAAAATCTTGCCTGGTCGTATTCTACTATTTTGTAGGCAACACTGCATAAAGAGATACTTTACATGGCTGGGCAATTGGGTCTTGACCCTTCAACCATGTCATTATGTAGTGGTGGCCCTGCTGCTGAGCTGGAACAATCCCTGCTGAACAGTGAAGCTGTTGCAAAATGCTTCAACTGTTCAATAAGTACATCAACCATACTGTTTGTGATTTATTGTTCAGAGTCTACTTCGACATTGGACAGAATCAGTATGCAAGAGAAGCACAATGCCGTCCTTAGTAAGATGAAGCTACTCAACTTAGATCAGCGTCTTTCTGGAGTGCTCGATCAATTTTTCTTGTACGTGCTTGTCCCTGATCTGCCAAAAAGGTACTCCTACCATTTCCTCTCAGTTGTACTTGCATATATTTCCACCACAGCGGGAAATCTTGTTGTTTGTATCCAAAGTGAAGTCTTGGGAACATATAAATGAAAAGTTAACTTCTTTTTTCAATTTATAATAACCATTCTTTTGGTGGTCTTGTAGAGCTTTTGTTGAAGTGAAGCCCATACTCTTTGTTGAGCATGATAGAGAAAGTGTGGAAATTGTTAACAATCAAGTTATGTCGGACCTAAAATATAATGTGAATCAGTTCGATTCATGTTTTCAACCAGAAATATGGCATGATGAGTGTCTTCAGAAGTGTCTTGTTCATGGGAGAATCTGTGCAGTCATTTTATCCATTACAACTGAAATTGCTAAGAAGATCTGTTCTGATAAGTTCATATCCGCAAACGCTGATGATCTTTTGATTATCACTGCTGAGGAGAAAATGGAAAGAGCTGCAAAATTTTGTGTATATCGTCTTGATAAAGTCCTTTTGCAGAACTTCTTTTCTTGGGATGACGTAACGGTTAGTGTGTGTGTGTGTGTGTTTATATATGTTTGAATGTATGCACATGCACATGTACATTTAAGTGTGTGTGCGTGTGTTTATATATGTATGTGTATACATATGTGTCTCTCTATAACTCGATTATGCATGCCTCTTCTGTTTTGCAGAATCTGAGGATTTACTTGTCGACGAGCAGCGGCATCTCCCATGAAACGTTGTCAGTAATCTTCAAAACCACATTCGATGAATTTGCTAAAACGACTAAAACGATGACAATTCGAAAGGAACCCATTTTCAACGTCGTGCCTGTGATTGGGGTTGGGAGTTCTGCTGCTTCCATGGATGATATAGTCACCTGTGAGCTATTTGCTACAAAATCCTGACATCAATTTGTTTTTTGATTTATGGCTCTTCTTCTAAGAGCTAAAATGTGAAAAATTCACATCTTTATTACCATTTGAAGTGATGTCCTTCTGTTTTAGGCCTGCAAACAGTACCCTATATTTTGGCATTTGTCTTCACTCAATTATTACCTTGGTATTGTATACAAAATATCTAGTAGAAATTAGAAACCAAACAAATTAAGTTATGTTTCATATTAATGTTAATTTGTTTTATTATACATTTTTAACTTCATGTGTTGTTTTTGTTCATTTAGTGGTGATTATTATTATTTTTTAACTCTATTTTCTAAAAAACATATGGTAAATATTGATTAAATTGAAATGGATTATGGTCCTAAAATAAACATCCATGTTTTTAAGAATGTGCAGTTATTATACTTTGAGAAAATAACGTGTTTTGTCTTTGTGGTTATATGTTTTGAACGGTTTTGATTCCCTTTTTTAAAATTCAAAGGATCGTGTCTATGTAGGTGCACTTTATAACGAACTTGGTCTTTAAAAAACTGCAACCATAGAGACCCAACTCATTAAAAAATGTAACCCATTAGAACCTAACTCATTAAAAAAAATTGCAGCTATATGTATGTAACTCGTTAAAAGACGTAACCATAAGGATCTGTTTTGTTGAACTTTGAAAAAATAAAAAACGCAATGAAACATATAATCTACTGTTTTTAATTAAGCAAGTGATTAGAGAAGTAATAACAAGGTTGTAGTCTGAGTCCATCCAGTTGCCATTGTCGTCTTTTTGACCTCTGGAAAGCAGTAAAGGCAAAAACAATTGAACCACTTTAAGCCTCTCACTCCACCCAGATAGATGCCGATGCCCAGAGGATGGAGGAAGATCTGAAACAACAACTTCACAATCCCTACTTCAACTGCTTCCATACATTCATTCCCTTCAGGTATCTTGTTGCTCTTTTTCTTATTATCTTCATTTCAAATCACAAATTAAGTTGAAAAAACCGTAGAGATTGCTATTCTTTGTTACTGTTCTATGGATGTTTGAATTTGAAGTTTGGGGCAAACCAAATGCTTAAAAAAGCAACACGGATCTGTTGTTTTCATCTGCTTCTAAGTTCTTAATGTTATAATTAGGAAATTTATTGTTTTCAGATTTGGGAAATCCGAATCCTGTATGAAGCTATGAACAGTAGTTGAAGGTTTTATTTTCCCGATTTGATCTTCAGATTTTGGGGTTTTTTTTTGGCAAATGTGGAGCAACATTAGGTTATAGTTCATTCAGCTTTAACAATTGGGCATTTATGATTTATGATGGTGTATAGAAAATGGGTGAATCTTTGGCTTGATTGAATCACTAAGAACACCAAGAATCAATGGAAGATTGTGCAAAGTATTCCCATAGTCCTGCTCATTTAGCAGTTTCCCAACGAGACCATGCCGCCCTTAAGAAACTCATTGCAGCCCTCCCACGGTTGGCCAAAGCCGGTGCTGTTAAAACCGAGTCTGAATCAGTAGCCGCTGAGTTAGATGCCGATGCTGTGTCGGCTGTAATCGACCGCCGTGATGTTCCAGGCCGCGAAACGCCTCTTCATCTTGCTGTTCGTTTCAAAGATCCGGTCTCAGCCGACATTTTGATGGCTGCTGGTGCCGATTGGAGTCTTCAAAACGAGCATGGATGGAGTGCACTTCAAGAAGCGGTTTGTAATCGAGAAGAGAACATAGCCATGATCATTGCTCGGCACTACCAGCCGCTTGCGTGGGCCAAGTGGTGTCGTAGGCTCCCTCGAATCGTAGCTTCGGCTGCTCGTATTCGTGATTTCTATATGGAGATAACTTTCCATTTCGAGAGTTCGGTTATTCCTTTTATAGGAAGGATTGCCCCCTCGGATACTTACCGGATTTGGAAACGTGGGTCGAATCTACGTGCCGATATGACGCTCGCTGGCTTTGACGGATTCCGAATTCAGCGGTCGGATCAAACGTTCATGTTTCTTGGAGATGGGTATTTAAGTGGAGATGGTAACACGTCTTTGCCTCCAGGTTCGTTGATCGTTCTTTCTCATAAAGAGAAAGAAATAACAAACGCTTTGGAGGGAGCCGGTGCTCAACCTTCGGAAGCGGAAGTTGCTCATGAAGTTGCATTGATGTCTCAAACTAACATGTACCGGCCGGGAATCGACGTGACTCAGGCCGAGCTCGTTCCTCATTTGAATTGGCGACGGCAAGAGAGAACGGAAGTCGTTGGACCCTGGAAAAGTAAAGTGTATGAAATGCTTAACGTGATTGTGAGCGTGAAATCGAGACGGGTTCCCGGTGCTATGACGGACGAGGAGCTTTTTTCTAACGAACGGGCGGTCGAAGGTGGAACCGACGACCATGATGAGTATGATGATGTGTTGACACCTGAAGAAAAGATCCAATTGAATTCTGCCCTTCGAATGGGAAACTCAGAAAGCCTTCGTGATGATGAAGAACGCGAAGTCGAACACGGAAACAGCGAGCCAGGTTCGTTTGAAAACTACGAATCCAACTCGAAAGATAAGAAAAGTTGGTTCGGTTGGAACAAGAAAGGATCGAAAACAAATGATCCTGAGGATTCAAAGATTCTAAAGAAGTTCTCGAAACTGAATGAAACTCAAAAATCATCGTCTGAAACTCACGGGGAGGACAATGGTGAGTCTAAGAAAGTGAAAGATAAGAGCGCTAAGAAGAAAAAGAAGAAAGGATCGGCAACGGAACCTAAACATGAAAGCGAATATAAAAAAGGGCTGAGACCAGTTCTTTGGTTGACACCAGATTTCCCGTTGAAAACCGACGAGCTTGTGCCATTGCTCGACATCTTGGCCAACAAGGTGAAGGCCATTCGGAGACTTAGGGAGCTTCTAACCACAAAACTACCTCACGGGACATTTCCCGTCAAGGTACACTCTATTTTTCCGACATCTTGTTTCTTTATATAGGCGATGATATAATTATGTCAAATAGGAAAGTTCAATCGTAAATATTTTAGGAACCTAGAATGAAACAATTTGAATATTCATGTAATTCATCACGAACATTCATTGGTTCATCAATCCTCAAAATATTTTACGGTTCTCAAATGAATCCACCCCTTGTGTCAAAATATCATATAAATATCCGTTTGCAACTGCAGATTGCAATTCCAATTGTGCCAACAATCAGAGTACTCGTAACATTTACAAAATTCAAGGAGCTACAAAGTTCATCGGAAGAATTCTCGACACCTCTCTCGAGCCCAGCTCACTTCCAAGATTCAAAACCGAAAGAAGCAGAGGGGTCAACATCCTGGATCTCATGGATGAAAGGAAACCGCGGCGATCAATCAAGCGACAGCGAGGGTCGTAGTTTTAGGGACGAGACGGATCCATTCAACATACCGACCGACTACACGTGGGTCGATGCCAACGAGAAGAAACGTAGGTTGAAGGCCAAGAAAGCCAAGATCAAGAAACACAAGAAGCAATCTGCAGTAGCGAGAAACACTGAAAATGGCGGACGTCCGCTGAGTGAAGATTTGGAGTGATGGAGTTTGTGTGGTAAAAATTTGATTTGGGGTTGTTCGATTGATTGTTGTATGCATGCGGTCTTTGTTTCTAGTCAGGGTTTTGGTAGTTGTATCAGGAACAGCTTCAATATATCAATGCTTTTATTATTTATTATGCTCTTCAATTATATAAACATTTTGAAAATTTTCATATTTATGAATTATTCATAATTCATAATTCATAATATTTTAATGGTTTTTAAAATATTTAGATAAACCAAATACTCAAAAAGGAACTGTCACTTTATTAAAAAATATTATACAAATTTTAACATGGTATCATAACACCAAACACAAACTATAATGCCTATAACTTCTCATAACTTCATCTTATGCATTATTGTTATATACACAAAATAGGTGAAAAGCCACCAACGTATGATGATTTGGTTACAAGATGATAGATACTAAAAGATACAACAATTCCATACAAATTCTTGCTCTAAAACTATCGACTATTACAAACCATATTCGACATTGGTCGACCAACCGATTCACCAAAACCGATCCTTGTTAACGCTCAAGTACCCGGCCATCACCTTTCCGCCAGTGTTCCTCATTCCATCTATGAGAAAACACCAAGTCGAACCCAAGGCCCCGATGAAGAAATCAGCTTCGGTAGCCATCAAGAAGTTAACGAGCGGATAGTTGGTGCTTGTTTCTCGACCGAGGCTCGCTTCGTATACCGCCATCGTGATATTTCCCAATTGCCGTCTCACATTCGAGTAATAAAACTTCCAGTTTGCATACAGCTTTATCTTGTCGATCACTTCCTGCATCTCGGTGGACAGCCAAATGCGTTTCAGATGAGGGAAACGATGTCTGATCCGATCAGCAAGATGCATGTATTCTTCAAACTGAACGACTTTCATTTCGCAGGCTTTGTCTCCCATCCTTACGTGCACGCTTAGCAATGGCCGTGGCGTCCAAGGCTCGTGATTTGACCATACGTACTTTTCAATTGCAGATGGAGAATCTTTCATGTCGAATTCCGAAACACGGGATGAATGAACCAACTCGGCAGCTTCCCATCCGAATGCTGAGTGTCGTGCCGCATTTAGTAAGCCACATGTGTACTCTGTTCGAAACCTCATAAGGTAGCGCAAAGCCTGAATGATTGTGGTACAAATATCGATCGATTAAAGAGAACAAAACAACCATACAAACGTTTGAATACTTCATAACAATCGAGTAGATCTACCTGTGCTCGCCACCATCTCCGGTCCATTTTCCGATGATAGCCGATTAATGTCCCGTTTACTTCTGTTGTTGGCTGAATGTAAGTCCAAGGACTACCCCATACCCTGTAATGAAGTTTCACTATATCAATGCGACAAAGATTTTGGAAAGAACAAAAGAATCTCGCGTTTAATCTCGAATGGTGCATATAGGTTCGAAATTTAGTAACGGCATTTACCGTGGGATCGGGCCAGTCCATATCTGCTTCGTTGTGTAGTTTTCTTTCACCGTGATAACTCCGTTTTCCCATGCTCCTTTTTCATTCATGAGTTCAAACGCTCGATCCCTGCACTCTTGTGATGTCTCCGGGAAGAAATAGCACGACCAACTAGACCTCGATGCACCTAACGAGAAAATTGGATCACCGGACGATGAGATAAACAAATAAGATGAATGTTTAGCAAGGATTTTGCGTTTTCGCAAGTTTGTTTACCTTCACAACCATTGTGATCGGCTCGATTGTAGTAGTTTGTGACGAGTATTCTTTTTTCGTTAATGGCAATTGCAAGAAGCCCGGACATCCCGGCAAACTGCGCTCCCATACCAAATCCAGGTATTCTCTCCCAATCCGTAACGAGAAACCTCAGATTCGGATCGCTACAGTTCACGGGATGTTGGTGCACCCATATATCGCTTTGCACTTTCCTTGTTAGCGGATAATTTTCTTCGTCCGACCCTTTTATCTGCAACAAACCCGCCAATGTTATTATCGAATATGTGGGACCACATCATCAATTGTTGTTGTCGTAAATGTATCAGATTACTTACTAAAAGAACCCTTAAAATAAGTTCCGACACAACATATATTAAAGTATGAAGGTCAGGGTCGGCCCTGGCCACGTGCAGCCTGTGTGACGCGGTCGCATAGGGCATCAAATCCTAAAGGGCATCAAATTGTCATCTATTACTAGTTTTGGGGGAATTGGATAATTCTGCTTTAACTGTAATTTTACCTAGTAGTGATGGATACTGAATGCACATCGTGTCTCGGTTAACGTCATCATTCCAACAAGTCAATCTAATTTATAGTGTTCTTCAAAGTTTGACTATTTAGATTTTCAAGGCGTTGAGTTTCGTTTTCAACTAATTAGCGGTCATGAAATTAGATTCAATAAATCAAAGATGAAAATCTTGAATAACTGATTTCTACTGTTGTTTGAACTTACCGAATTGTTGTGTGAGACATATTATGATTTTATGAATCTTCAAATATTTTTCCAAAAAATATCTAAATATCTAACTGATTATCATAAAGTTGTGTCATGTGTGGTCATGTGGGTTACTGACCTACTAGGCTAAGACTAAAGGGCTTTTGTCATTTTAATAATGAGTATTTCTTTTGCATATTGAAATATCTAGGAATTGGAATTTGCAATGCACATGAGCACATCGTTATATCAACATAGCTAGAGCATGTTGTACAACATATTGTGATATTGTCTTAATTATTGAGCACTTGTTCTTTGCAATGCACAGTAACATAGATTATGAATTTTACAATTTATCATTGTTCTTTTGACTTTTGTTTACTTCTAGGTTTGACATTACCGCATTAGATTTAAGGGCCGTTTGATTGGTTTTTTATTAAGTTCTATGTAGATAGCGTTGTCTGTGTGAATTAATCTGTATGTATAAGTTGGAAAAGTTTTTGTTTGAGAGAGTTTTCTCATTAACGTTTTTTTAGTTGGGAGGGACATGTTTGGAAAAGAAAACTTGGTTTTCTATATAAAGCCCCCCCTCGAAGCTTATTGGATAAGTCACTTTTTATATCATTAAGCCACTACGAAACAATCATGCATAGTTGAGCGAATAAGCTGTTAGTTCCATTAAGCTTCTTAAGCTGCTAAGAAATAGACCCTTAGACTTTAGTCGTTAGACCTGTAACTATTTTAGTTTTATTTTTCGCTTACTATGATAGTAATTTGGATGTAATTTACTATTTTAGTTAAAAACTAATTGTAGTTTTCCTTGTGTTTTAAGTTTCATGTATTGAAATAAAGTTTTTATTTTGCTAATTTCCATTTGGAAAAGAGAAAACTGGAAAAGAAGAAAACACAATTTAATCCAAGATTTATCCTTTTATCATTCTATTTTTTGGATTCAGAGTTTTGCTTTTTATGTCCCCCCTGTAATTTTTTATATATTATAATTAATAAAAATCAACATGAAGATGAAACACTTAGCTTGACTAGGTTCCAAACTCTTTAAAAAATCGCATATTTCGTTGTTTCATTGACTTAAAGACATTTTTTATTATTTTCACACGAGACATCAAAAATCTTAGTACCGACCAGGTCTAAATCTAACGCATGGTTCCAAGAGTTATAAACACGTACCCATGGAGGATAAGAACCTTTAGAGATGGCTTGATTACCATTATACCCTTGTTGTTGTTCTTTTGTTGATAGAGGGTAGTTATTCAAGAAACCTTTCCACATTGTCCATGGTGGTAACTTCGCATCCTCAGTACGTTTATCGAGAAGCCGGTTGGCTTCGCTCGTCAACTTACAGTTCTCCAAATGAGGAGGTCTATGCACCTGAGATCCGTCAGTGATTGTATCTCGTGAGAACAGACCTTGACCGGTGTTTGACATGTTCAGCATTTCACTCCAAGCCGAGTAGATCGAGTTGACATGGTCGTTGACTCGGACCTCGATAACGTTGTGTGATATCACCATTCTTTCTACTGCTTGTGATTTAGAATCGCATTCTTGACCCGTAAATACATCTACAAAATAATACCCATTTTTATAGAACAATCTTACATCATAAAATTTCCAAAGATTTAAGAACAAAATTACAAAATAGCGATTAAGTTGCAACAAAATACACAGTTGAGGTCTAACTGTAAAAAATCTAAAAGATAAGGGTTCATTTTGTAAATATGATTTTTGCTTATAATGGCTAAACAATAAAATCTTTCTACTCGGCGATGGCCCGTTTTCCAGAGCTGAAATTCTTAAATCCAGAGCAATAATGCTGTGTCGACTTGTACGTTTGTCCTGGAGTTTAAGCTAAAATTTTTGGTGGGCGTCTTTTTCAACAAAGCATGTTGTACGTTGGAGTGTGTGATTGTCGAACATAGAAATCCGTACATAAGATTTTTGATGGATAAATAAATTACTCCTACCGATTTCATTTCATTTCTGTATGTATATATATATATATAATTTTTTTAATGTTATTAATTTAACTTAAATATGGTTTAAAAACAACAATTTTCTTATAACATAAGAGACCCTATATTTTATAATTTAAATTACTTTTATTAAAAATAATTTTTAGTGAATAAGGAGTGTTAATTAGTGTACAACTTTAGTTTGCTTGAACGACACCCTTATGGAGATATATTCATTTGTACATTTTTTTTGACTCAATCATTTTCTCAATGTCATAATCACTTGACAAATACTCCACCAATTTTCCAATTTCAAACACATAATTAGGGTTTTAGTCTATTAAAATCAAAACCATCTACATAACTTGAATCACCTGTTGTGGTTTCGAGAATCAATTAAAGGTGTATTCGGATCTAGCAATCAGAAATCAAGTATTTGGGTGTTTGAATATGCCGTAAATTTTGGTAAAATTCGATTGTGATTAATGAAAATTGAATTAAGATCTTTTTGAAGAGATGAATAGAAAATACTTACTGAGAAAAGAGGAAGTGGAATTGGGAGAAGCAAACTGGAAAGAAGCGAAGGAAGTGAGAGCAGCAAGAAAGAGAGACGTGAGACAAACTCCAGACAGAAATCCAACCACACATATTTGGCATGAAAACGAATTCCCCATTTGCAATGCCTTCAATGACACCATTCTCTCCAACGATTTTCCATTTCCATTTCCATTTCCATTCCCCTCCATTTTTATATATATATATATATACAAATCCTCTGCAAAATTAATAAACCATACATTTATTTTAAAATTAATATCAAAATAAATACACAAATTAAAGGCACAGGAGTCGAACCCATGATCCAAAATTTGATTTTAAAAATAATATGAATATTGGGTTTATGTTTACCAGAAAAAAAAAAAAAAAAAAAGCTTTTTTTTACATTTTAAAGCATTATCTTGAAAAAATTCTTGGTGTACAAAAAATTGAATTGAGGATGGGTTTTTTCTTAAAGAAAATTCAAAACGAACAGGAACTCATGAAAGATGCAATTTTCCATTTCTGAAATATACTGAAAAATGTAAGAAAAACGTGTATTCACACATACATATGTGTGTGTGTGTATATATATATATACATATACATATATATGTATAGGAATTAAACTTACCACATAAAAACCCAGGACAGATTGAAGGTCGACATGATATATCTTCCTGTGAATTCAATCATATATCGCCACCCTTAATTCTCCTTCTGCTTCTCTCTCTCTCTCTCTCTCTATATATATATATATATATATATATACATATATATCTATATGTTATATGTGTATATATATATATATATGTATCTCTCACTAGGACAAGTGAAGAGTCTAGTGTGTGGAGGAAGGGAGGATTTGGTGGTGTCATGTGTAGGTAAGGGAATATGTTCTTCACTGCAATATGGGCCCCCCATTCTTTTTTCCTTTACACTCTAACATCACATTCACAAAACATGTACGCTTTCCTTTACAACCCCAAAGGATGAACTCGTAAAAAAGAGTTTGTATCGTTTCATGAATCTTGTTATTGTTATATTTTGTTGTTAAGTTTTATTAATTTTTATTATTAAATTTTGGACACACATAACAATAAATTTCAATCTCGAAACAAATTTCTAAGTTTCTGGTTTAACTGACGTTTTCAATATTTGTTTGCTATATTTTTGCGTTGAAATTTGAAAAGAGTCCGAAGTTTATGCAATCGTGCATTAAAGTTGGTATTTTAGTTTGATGTTAGAAAACAAACCATACTTATCGTATAAAATTTAGTTACTGGTTGTGCATATTGTATTAAGACACGTGTTTTGAATGATTTTGATGGAATTTTTTGATTCGCTTTCAAATTTAATTTTTTTTGTTTATTGAGTACTCTAAAAAAACCATTTTAAGTTAAATTTAACGAAAATCTTACAAGTAAAAATCTAGACATTCACTATGGCCTTCTCTTTCGTTGTTTCGAAAACTACTATGATTTTATTGTTACTTTAAATCATGACATTTGTGAATCCAATTAGGCATGACGGCCCCCATACCGTATGGTGGTTATTAGACAACTTTCTAGTTAAGAATTGAAGAAATGTTATTCTTGAACAAGAAACCAAGTTAAATATATGACATTTTGAAAAAAATTGGAACTCGTATGACTTGATGACTCCCTAGCACCAGCCAAAAAATTTCCGTAAGTGACACTGTTGAATGTATTCGGTGTGTCAATGACAATCTTGTTGAGGTAAAAGCATTGGGGTCATGGTACGGTGTTTTATAGGCAAACAATGACGAAATATTATTTTTGAAAAAGTGGTTTACGCAAATGTATAATCATTTGCGTAAAATCTGGCTAATTTGAAAATTTGATTTTTCTAAAAATAGCTGTAAAGTAAATTGAAATGAGAAGATTGACTATTTCGGTCAATTAAATCAGTGAAGATAAACAAACTTAATGTAACCGCGCTTATTAAAAGAAAAATTGATCGAAATGGTCATTTCTCTCACATGGATTGATCTCCTAGTGAATCCTCTCTCATTTTAACCTAAATGTCACTACCTCCATAAGGAGACCTCCACAATTAGCAAATGTAAGTAAAAGACAAAAGAAATACAATTTTCTACCTTGGTTCACAAATGACACCTCCATAATTACTGTCCAAGTCCACAATGAAGGAAGTGTCATTTATAGACCTGGGTAAAACTTATAATTTTTTTTTTTGGGGTTTTAGCTGCTCCTACAAATTAAGATATTATTTACAAAAATAATAAATTGATATGAGAGAAATAACTTATTGATCAATTTCTCTTGTTAAAATGGTCATATGTCACACAGCAGAAAAACAGGAGACAAAATTAAAAAAATGAAAATGAAACCTTATTCGTGTCGGATTGTAGAGAAGTTTTAATGTCACTTGTTCGTGTGCATGGTTTTGTGAAGGCCGTCACGTGAATGATTGCCGCGGGGTTATTAAAGGACACGTGTTAGTCCAGAAACATATTTAAAGATGGTTACGGTCATCACCCTCTTGTGACCCAACCAATTCTCCTATTTCGCAAAAGATGACTTTGACGTATCGTATCCATAACCACATACTTCTGGTTTTCTTTATTTTTTTCGGCTTTCCCATCGTTTTCACCCACCCTTGTTTACGAACACACACATATTTTATACATAAACAAAGGGATGATTAATCGATTGTTTATTTATTTTTTAATAGTTTTATTAAAAGACAATTTTTTAAATTATTAAGAACTAAATCTTCTTTGATAAAAATATCTGCTTAATTAATGGTTTTAAAACCCTCTGAATGATTGTTATTTTAAAAATTATTATTTTTGTTTTCGTGTTTTTAAAGTTATGGTTCATCTTCTAGTTTATAATTTATTGTTGTTATAATTAGGGCAAATTACATGAAAAAATAACATACTTTAACTTGATTTCTATTTTGGGTAACGTACTTTCAAAATTTTCATTTTGGTACCTAAGATGTAAAGTTTTAAACATTTAAGTACCCGGATAACCCAGTAAAGACTAATTTTAGACTTAAAAAAAGACTAATTTTAGATTAAAAAATTTCACGTCACTGACTAGGTCAACAAATAATACCGAATTGGATACCACATCAGTATGATAACCGGTTAATACTTCAACCAGTTACCCGGGTACTTAAATGTTTAAAACTTTACATTTTAGGTACCAAAATGAAAGTTTTGAAAGTACGTTACTCAAAATAGAAATCAAGTTAAAGTACGTTATTTTTTCATGCAATTTGCCCTTATAATTATGGTAAATCATGGATTGAGTCAATTTTAGAAAGGAAAAAAAATAAAAAAATTGTAAATCCTAAAGATAGCGTAACGGTGCAATGTTTAACAAACCACTATTAAAGGTAAAATAAAAGCTTTAGAAATGTAGGAAAAGACCATTGATGTTGATATAAATAATAAAACGAAAGAAAATGTAAATTTAAATAGCATGTAAAATCCAAAAAAATAAAGCGACAAGCATCCACATGTGAGTGTGACGTAAGCCAAACAAGAAAAAGGTTAACGGAGAGAGTTCAAGTCAAAACCGGATATCTAAAAATTGAGTCGACCAATTTTAGTGACAATTTGGTGATCAATTCCATTCAATTTAATTACTCATTTAATAAATAAATATAAATATTTTATGATATTCTTTTATTTAATATTTCTCTTATTATTGAGCTTGTGAATTATGATCATATGAATATCTATTATGTTTATTTGATATTTGTATTGAAGTGTTTTTAAGCAAATTAGAAAAAATATATGAATAAATGATTGAAATAATGGATTAATTGGTTGGAAGATTAAATTAAACGATCAGATATAGTTTAAATATAATTTAATGAATAATCGATAGTAATATCTAAACAAGAATTGTCTCGAGAAAGGAACAAGGAAATAAAGAGTAGGGAATGAGTCCACAATAAAGAGTAAATAATTTGAGTTGGAAATGATGTTACCGCAATATCTTTCATTGTCTTAACAAAAAAATTTGCAAAATTTTAAATGATAATCAGTATTAGCGTAAACCTAATTCGAAGAATCCATCAAATGATTTTGTCTTTGTAAGAGGGCCTTCAATTAAGAATTTGTGACCAATAATCTCTTGTTAATCTGGGTTTTGTTTTAAAGGTAAATTAGGTAATTAAATTAGGTTTTTTTTTTTTTCATTAATAAGCTTTGTCACTGCATCTCCCTCACGCATGAACAAATGCTGGAAAAATAACGCTTTGATAAGCAACTCCAATTGCACGGTACAAACTGCATTTTACTTGTTGGAGTGTTCATGTTTAGACATCATATATGTTGTATGGTTGGAGTTGAACCAGTTTTTATTGTTGATGTCCCCACCAAATTTAGTGATTGTTTTGCCGGTGGAATTAGTTTTTATTCTTTGGTAGTTAAGCATCTTGAATGTAGGAGAAACAAATGACATCAAAACAATCAGGGCCGGCCCTGAGATTTTGGATGCCCACGGCGGAAAGTCAAAAAAATGCCCTTTATAGTGAAAAAAAATTCAATCACAAGTATATATGAGGATATTTTTAACTTTAAAACAACATGAATAATCAGTATTCATTATTCACAAAGGAAATCTATGCAGATATATGGTTATCGAGATGCCAATTATTGATAACAACATAGGTTTAACTATTTATAGGTTTTTAGATAAGGCTTGAAACATAAATAGTTAAGAACAAGAATATGAGAAAGAGACTTTAAGAAATGAAYCTCATGCATGGAATTGTCTTTAGTTGTAGAGTTTCGACCAAGTGCAAGTGATTCAGGCATCACATATATCCCAATAGCATCAAGGTGTGTGCTAACACGTCCATGAAATCCACCCCATGTTCCATGACTTATGCATCCTTCATAATTGGTTTTATCTCCCTACAAACCATCCAAAAGAATAAGAACACATAAATCTGTACCATCCTATATATTCTTCAAGTAAAACATAACAAAAGATATAACTAAAACCTTAACATGAGGCTATTGAGATCTCATTTTAAAATGTTGCCAAACTTTCAACATGATCAATTACAACCAACAATCATCCCCAATGTATCTAAGCCATAAAGAAACACTACAAAAGATCATACATAAATAATCGATGCCACGTACTCAATTTCACCACGAATTGTGGTGTTATTGATCACAGATGTTGCGTTGCAGCAGAACATCAGTGTGTATCTCTTTCACTCACATGAGGAGAGTATTCTTTTAAACGCAATGTAACTACGGTGATGAACTAACACAATTGACACATTCATATATGGAACAGTGTGATGAAGAGAGTGTGCAGGATAACACGTCAACTTCAAACAACCATAACTTAATCATCTTAACCATTCTAACTCTGGCACATTCATATATGGTCTGGGCACCAAATGTCAGTCCCAAATTCCCACATTTGGAGCTCCAATTTTGAATTCCCCCAGTCTGTACCATCTACTCAAAAATCAAAAGTTCTGATGGACAATTTGATCATCAGAATTGAAATTATGAATCTTCACAACCACATTAGTCATTTGCCCAACACATTACCTAATAAGTAATTAAACATAAGTTTAATCATCTTAACCATTCTAACTCTTAAACAAAGGCAAAGCTAGTTTAACCCTATCCATAAGCTGAAATATACTAATATAATTCAAAAACGAGTTGAAATATACTCTTGAATCACTTAATTTCAACAT